ACAACACCCAAAGGGATCAACGGTAGCTGACTGCTAGGGCTGTGCGAAGCTTTGGGTGCTGATTTGAGTTGGAGGAGATTCGGCCCGATTCAGTACCCGAATCTCCAAATCTGAATCAAATCAGGGAACCAGTTAAAAGGTCCAAACTGATTCAAAGCTCTCTGGATCAATTCAGAAATGATTCAGAGAGCTTCAGCAATTCAGGCAGTCTCTGCCTGCTGTAGCAGGGAGCTGGACCTGGACTCAGAGCTGGTAAGTAGGGGCCGGGGGAGGGTGGAGGATGGAGAAGGGGACTATGGGGGGACCCCCACCAGGCCCCATCCCCTTCCTGTTCCCTCAGCCCTCCTGCTCCCCATGGCTGCCCAGCTCGGCCCCAGCTCCTGGCTCTTTAAAAAGAAGCCCCCATTCACCAACTGCTGCCTGCTGGGGGGGGTGATCCCCACTGCGCCACGCCACATGGGGGGCTCTGCCATGAGCCCTCTGACCCCCGCCTGCTCGCCACCCACCTGCCCCAGCTCCCAGCCCTTTAAGAAAACAAAAAAACAAAAAAAACCTAGGCTCACCAGCTTCTGCAACAGCCTTGGGACTTCGGGGGGCTCGTGCTGAGTCTCCCACATGGCGCAGGACAGTGGCGGGCAGCAGAGATCATCCCCCGCCAGGCAGCAGCTAGTGAGTGCAGGCGTTTTTGTTTGTGTGTTTGTTTTAAAGGGCCAGAGACAGGCCAGGTGGGGCAGCCCTGGGGAGGCTGGGGGAGTGGGCAGGGTCGGGGAGCTCGTGACAGAGCCCCCCACGTGGTGTGGGGCAGTATGGGGCAGCAGGGATTGCCCTCTGGCTGGGCAGCAACCAGTAAGTGGCAGCTTTTTTTTTCTTCAAAGGGCCAGGAGCTGAGGCAGGGAGGGCAGCCACTGAGAGTGGGCAGGGGATGGGGCCTGAGTGATTTGGCTGATTTGGCAGCAACCAAATCTCTGAATCAGATTCGGCCGAATCAATTCAGGACAGCGATTTGAATCACTGAATCGAATCACTGTCCCCCGAATTGGCTGAATCCAAATTGCGAAGTGAATACTACCTGCTTCACACAGAACTAGTGACTGCATCTCAGGAAAGTTTATGATTCTAAGAACACTCCCAGAGCAAATGAGCTTGAAGAGAGAAGATTTTCAAAGCCAAATAGAGAGTTAGATGCTCACTTTTTAGAAATCACTGGAATTTGATGCCTTTTTCTGAGGCCTTTGAAAATCCCAGGCAATGCAGCTTGTGGTTTTGGAATTGTATAATTCGTGGATATGATGTGTCACATAAAAAGAACTAGGGAACAGTCCTGCATGGGTTGAGACTGAGTGGGTGACTGCATGGGATGCCTGTTCCTATGATTCTGTAAGTTGAGACCTACTGAATTCATGACTGTGCAGTTTTCACAGGAAATGTGAAAAACGGCAGGCTCCACGAAAAATGGCAGGCTTTGTGATTTTGGTATACTCACTGCAACAGAAAAAACAAACTTACCTGCAAGCAGAGAAGAGGGCAGGAAATCCTTCAGTACTGAAACAAGGTGGGGGGGGAGGGGCATCGGGATGTGAGGGAGCAAATTAGAGGCTGAGTCTGTGATGTGGATCAGTCCAGGAGCCAGTCCCGAGCCAGTCAGGGAAATGAGAGGGTTTTGGAGCTGGCTTTCAAAGTGGCCACCTGCAAGCTGGTACAGTATGCTGCAGCCTGAGGTGGATTCTTCAGCATGACCACTGAGAAGAAATCCTCCAAGACAGCCAAATACGTTTCAGCACTGGACCATGTAAGGCAGCATCCTGCAGGGATCTTGCACACGGATAGAGAGGCAAATTGTTCTGTACTGCCTGCAATGTCCAAGGTTCACACAAAGCAAAAGGCTGTTGCAGAGGCTGAAGTTCAGAGCTGGAAACAGGCTACCATGTCCTTGCTCTTTAAAAGGATCATGGAAAGCAGCTTGACAAGGCAAAATGTGGTATTTTGCTTCATGGAGACTGTCACGGTGGTGAACATCCTGCTAGAGAACCTTGATCACCTGAAGTTAAGGGATTACCTGAACCAAAATGTGTGGAGTGCTGGCAGTTTTCCATGTGCCAGCAAGCTTTGCCAAGACTGTCTCCCTGCAGTGATTGCTTTGCATGTACAGTCCACAAAGTCTGCACTGGCAGAATATGAATGCTTCTCCATTGTGGCTGATGAAGCCACCAACCATCAAGATAACTATGTGCATCACATTTTATTTGTACTGAGGAGCTGGACAGACCGAGACCTGCCTAAGTTTGAAACTAAGCTGGACCACCTCACATCTGTCAATTTTTCTACCATGTCTCAAGTCATAATGAAGGTGATTGCCAGCTATGGCTTAGAATTTAATATGATCTCAACATTCCTGTCCAACAATGCCATGTACATGTGCAAGGCTTTCTCTGATGTGTTCCAAGAATGCCGCTCAGCATTGTTCATGCCACCTGCAGCGTACACATTCTGTACCTAGTAACATCTGCATACAGTTCCTCAATTTGGATTGCCTAGTGTCCTTCAAGAAAGCCTTCAAGCACTGTCCAGGCCATAAGGTCCAGTCCAAGAAGTCCATCACTAGTCGAAATAGAAACTCACATGCCACTTTGTCGCTGCCATCAGAGTCTTTGCTCACACAGTGGAATTCATGGTTCACTGCAGTCCATTACCATGCCAAGCATATTCAATACTACCCACAGTTTGTGTGTGAGGAGCTAGAAATCACACCCAGCACACAGTGCATGCTTAAGCTTCACCATCTCTTAAAGCAAGGCATTGCTCAAGATCAAGCGATGTTTGTGGGTGAAAATGCCACCTGGTTCATGGAGCTTTTAATGTGGTGTGAAGGCTGGTAGGCTGTGATTCATCAGTACGCAACAAGCTGATGGTTTTGATAAACTGGGTCAAAGACATGGCATCACAAGAACTATCAAGCTGTCCTCATGAAAACTAGCGGAGACAAGAACTGTTCCAGGCAATAGCTATGAAACTGAACCAGTACTACAGGTATGACTCATCACTACCACCACGGTTCAGATAACTGGCTACCTCTTTCCTTAGTTCTGTTCATATTTTGGAACCTGACTGGGTGTATGTTCTGAGCTGTGACCCTCAGCTACTGAAATCAATCCCTGGATGGTGGAAAGAGCATGACAATGAATGTGCTGTTTACGTGAACTTTGTCAAAGAGTGCTGAATGCCTTTGCGTGTGCCTGTGTTCTGTCTGTGACTGGTTTCCACATCTCTACACCCTGGCAAAATGCTGTCTCATCATTCCAGTGAACTCAGTGGATGCTGAGTGTGCCACCTCAGTGTACAGACAAGTGTTCACCCCACAGAGACAGAGAATGTCTGGAGCAACTGCCACTGGATGCAGCATGCTAGCATTTAATAGCTAGTGTGAATTGCCTGTCTCAAGGTTAGCATTCAGTAAACTTCTTTTTACAATGTCCTTTTAATAGAGTGTATATAGTTGGTATTAGTCAATAAAGTGTATAGTGATGGTATTAGTTACAATTCATGTTGCGTATAGTTTTAACTTCATAAATTATTTCAGTTTAGAGTTTAATTAAATGCTTATATTGCTTAGTAATGCATCAGTGAATGGCTTCCATGGGCTTAATCATGAGATTAAGCCTGCAGAAGCCATTAAAGGAAACATTATTAAGCAATTAAGCTATGGTTTCAGGCCATCTGGCAATCTGTGGGGAGGGGTCAGACTGCTGGGGCCCCTTGGCCAATCAGAAGCATGGGGGGGCCCTGTCACACTTGGCCCATGAAAAAGGCAGCTGGTCCTGGGATCTGCCCGCAAAATGGGCTGGCCACCTCCTTGAGTTTGGTAGATCCCTATTTATGTCACTTTGGTTTGTGGTAGAGAAGCAACTTGTACTGAAGTTCCTTTTATATTTAACAAGCTACAGCATTTGTGACATCATGGGCTCTGAAACTTTATTGCTAAAGTTGAAGTTCAGACTTCAATATCTGTTTCCAGAAATGTTATATTCATTGCCTTAAAACATCAGTCTTTGTATTTCTGCCTTCAGCAGCATGAAACTCCCCTATGGCACTGTTTTCAAATGTCTACATTCAGTGATTAGTACATATATTATGGTCTGGGCCGTAGAATTCAAATCAGACTTTCCCAGTTCATTAGTCTTGAGATCCAAGCTCATTTTGGACAATTTCTACTGAACAGAGAGCAGTATTTTGAAAGTTTGTGTGACTAGCTCCTACATACGATAATCAACTTGTGCTCAGACATCTATGAATCATATTTACACCTGTTTTAAAATCTAACCCAAATGAGCATTATTTGGTTTAAAAGCCTCCTATGTGCCTTCACCATGTATATCACTGTGCTATCTCATAGATCGGGAAAAGGCAAGGAGATTTCTTGCTCTCAAAAGGGCTTAATTGTGACAACTAACACACACAAAGATGGCTGACAACTTCCTGTTGATGTCGTCAAATCAGCCCTTGGGAAGGGAGTTAATCCTTGCTACTACTACAATTACAATGTGAATTAGGGGCAGGTGCTAGGGACTCTCACTTTTGTGTGTATATATATACATACATATGTAATACATGCATCTAGCGATTGTAAATGCTGAAACAGGTTTTCATCAAAGTGTTGCTGAAGTTTAACATCAGGAGTGTAAAGTTCGGTTAATATTCATGTCAACATTTACTGAGAGATCTTGCCTTCAGGTCTGAGATAAAATGGCTATGCCAGTTTAAAAATTACCTTCCCCACCAACTCAATTTTGACAAAGTGCTATCAAAATTGTATACACACTGTTAGTTAAATACATATTTTCTGAGTCCCATGCACCTGCCCACTGTGTACAACCACTGTATCCGTAGATATTGTTGTTTTTGCTTTATTTTATCTTCAGATAAGAACAACATGTGACTAATTAGCATGGAGCCAGGCTGCTAGCCTCTGAACTAAACATTTTTTCTTTTTCTTACAATCTCAGAGAGGAAGATCCCTGATGAAGATTTCATCATATTAATTGATGGTTTAAATGAAGCAGAGTTTCACAAACCAGATTATGGGGACACCATAGTATCATTCCTGAGCAAAATGATTGGAAAATTTCCATCCTGGCTAAAGTTAATAGTAACAGTCAGGACAAGTCTACAGGTACATTGAGACTGTTTATGGGTAAACACATAAACACTGAGTATCTTTGCAAAATGGGTTTTCACTCCTAAGGTCTTAACTAGTATCATATTGATTTGATTATTGATTGTCTTTTGAAGTTATCACATTTTATCACTCTTTTGCACCAATCTGTCTGCACTGGATTCAAATTGGCTTTTGTGTGAAACTGTACCACTGACTCATGCCAGTAATCCTTATTCAGCAAGGCATTCTATTAACTTCAGCAAGAAGGCTCATGTGACAAAGAGCTCCCTGCTGTCAGTGAGAATTACCAGTTACAAGTTTGTGAGGCAAGGCTTTTAGGAACCCGGATTTCTTTTATCCCAAATGAGAGAAGTTGGTGGACAGGATTTCATGCATACATCCCTCCTTGGTCAGACAGAGCTTATGTGTTACATTTGTTAAAGCTGAGAGAATCATAATCTGAGTCCAAGAAGTTATTTAGCTCCACTAGGATTGATTTTTAGGTTGGTTCTGAGATTTTAGATTTAATGTAAATAACACTGGTCTGTGTTTTCATCTTAGCTCATGCAGAAAATTCAGTTTATATTGGTAATCATTATAACACTAGTATCTTTGGACCTCACAACTAAATGAAAGCCTAGAAGAAAATACATCAAGTATATATAACTAGTCTTTAAACAGTTAAAAATGCCTGCATTTTAGAGCCTATGCAAAGTAGCGTAATGAAAAAGAGCAGGAAGTACCAATGAATCAGTTTTAGCTGTAATTCTTCTAGACACAGCCCAGATGTAGTTCACCACTATCATAAATCCAGACGTCCATTGGTTTTCAGTTCTTATTGGCTGATTATTTTTTACAATAGCAGGTTGCACAGTCTTCTTACTGCAGTGTTCATTTCCCTTTGTTTTAAGGTTGTTTACACGATATTTTGGAAAAGGATTATGTCCTGTTTGTTTCAGTGAGAATCTTATATTGTAATCCTAGCATTTAACCTGCCTGCCATTTAATTGGTCAGGGCTTTTGGAGCCCTACATTTCTTAAAATTATATGGTTGATTCTTTATCATGCTTAAATTTTGCTTTTTGGGAAGCTGGCCAATACAGCTTCCTGACTCTCCCCAGTTTGAGCAGAATCACCTCTTTCAGCTTTGTACTAATTGAGGGTTCTTTGCATAGAGACGTCTCTATGGAAAACCTCTGGCAGGGTTAAATTCATTTTATGCTGCATAAGCAGTATAAAGTGAACTTACTAGATCAGTGAATCCTGCCCGCATTTTCCCTGTGATGCATAGTAGACACAGAGTTCTGCACTACATGCTCTTTCAGAAACATCCTTTCAGCTGAGAAAAGATTGAACCTACTGCTGACTCTGAACAGATCAACAGCATATAGAGTATTTCACTATGGTCTTTACTGTACAGTAGTAAATCTCTGTTATTAGCTGTGCTAAGATTTCAATATACCTCCCTATTAATCAGCTGCTGCATAATATTGAGGATTGCTAGAGTCAGCACTCCTTGAGATATACTCAACTGTTTCAACAAAAGTCCTACAGTGTTGGACTCTATCAGCTTTGACTGCCCACGCATCATTCCCTAATCTGTCAGCATTTTATATGCCAGCACAGAGAACTGATGGTATGTGTGAGAGTAGCTGGGGTGGTGCTGGGTTTTAAAAGCATTGCCCTGTGTGCTGGGATTTAAAAGCATTTCCCTCCAGCCCCTTTTCTAGGAAAATATATTGGGAAAAATGTTTTCAGGTTTACAAAAATGTTTGGATATTCATCTGAATTTATAAGGTCTTTGGGTCACAAACTGTCGTCACAAGTGCTTGCTCAGCACCTAAGGGAGAGGGCACTGATTAGAATCTGTATGTGCTACTCTAATACAAATGTTTATTTTTGTTAATAACAAGAACTTCCAACATAAATAATTGCTTTTTCTTTTCTTTTTTTAGGAGATAATAAAATTGTTGCCCTTCCATAGGATATTTCTGGATAGACTGGAAGAGAATGAAGCCATAGACCAGGACCTGCAAGCATATATCCTTCATCGAATACACAGCAGCTCTGAGATCCAGAACAACATCTCCCTTAATGGCAAAATGGACAACACTACGTTTGGCAAACTCAGTTCTCATCTCAAGACCTTGAGTCAAGGGTCCTATCTATACTTAAAACTCACTTTTGATCTCATAGAGAAGGGCTACTTGGTACTAAAAAGCTCCAGCTATAAAGTAGTCCCAGTCTCTCTTTCAGAAGTTTACCTGTTGCAGTGCAATATGAAGTTCCCGACACAGTCTTCCTTTGATCGGGTTATGCCTCTCTTGAATGTGGCAGTGGCATCTCTGCATCCATTAACAGATGAGCATATTTTTCAGGCTATTAATGCAGGTAACATTGAGGGTACTCTGGAATGGGATGACTTTCAGCAGAGGATGGAGAACCTTTCCATGTTTCTTATCAAGCGTAGAGATATGACACGAATGTTTGTTCATCCCTCTTTTCGAGAGTGGCTTATCTGGAGAGAGGAAGGAGAAAAAACCAAGTTTCTTTGTGACCCTAGGTAAGTAAGAAAGACATTATGAATTTGTTAAAATCTCTGAAGCATTTCACTGTCTCATCTTAATCCTTTTGATCCATGGGTTTGCATATAGATAAGGAGTGTATAGTCCAAAGGGGAGTTTTTTTTACTGTCTTCTACAAAAGCATAGCATCTATTTGACACAGATGACAGGAAGATGAAAGTGAAACAGCAGATACATGTCTGTATGCATCAGGCCAACTTCTAGAATCACTCTATTCATGAAACTCCTATTCATTTTGGAACCAGAATGAGATGCAGAATATGACTGCACTGCATTTTTGAAGTGTGAATGTGTTTCACGTACACTGACATAATAAGGCAAATTATTAATTGTGTTTCTGGCATAGCTGTTGTGAAGCTAACATTTAATTTCTCTCAGATGTATGTTCCATATAAACTGGTCACATAAGAATTCTAAAACCTTATTAAAACATTTCCGTATTTCAAATCCAGAGTGGATGTGCAAGTATTCTCACTGTAATTTTAGCAGCCCATCCCAACAGGGGCAGTCTCAATTTTTCTAGTCCATTCCTTGAAACAAGAATATAGATACTAGGAAACAGTCATTCATATTCTAAACCACTGCAATCCATCTCCTTGACTTATTAACGGTCAATACTAGGAAAAGGGATAGTGTCTGCTGAAGCTGAAAGTTACGCAAGGTGAGAGCTATTCACTTCATTAAAGCAAGTAATTGCTGTTAGCTTGGTCAAAGTAAAGAATATAGTTGCCACCCCAGGTTTGGAAGGGGGTTCTTTTTTGGTAAATAATCTGTAGGAAAAAAAAATAACACAGCTGCTTTGAGAGAAATATCACATCTGCTTTAGTAGATTCTGTGCAGCACTTTGTCACCCAACCTTTGTAAAGCATCTTCAAGTTGAATGCAGTTACCTTTAAATCAATCATTGTTAGTTAATTTAAACATAATATCCTTCCCAAGCTTCAGTTGGTATCTCTCACCATACAGTGTGCTTCCCAGCTTGGGTTACACAATACAGTAAAATCCCCATTATCCGTCACGAGTGGGGAACGAGGGGTGCCAGGTATCTAAAAATGCCAGTTACCTGAGGCCAGCGGTTTTTGGCTGTATGCAAAGCGGAGGTTGTGGGAGGTGGCAGTCGCATGCAGAGCAACTGCAGCACAGGGTGGTGGCTAGCAGCAGTGGCCACTGAGTGAGTACGAGCTTCCCCCCCCCCCCAATAT